CCTTCGGCTTGGGTCGTGACCCCAGGGTCCTGGGATCGAGCCCCGCATCAGGCTCCCTGCTTCGCGGGGAGTCTGCTTCTCCCTCTCCCTCTGCTGCTCCCCCTGCTTGTGCTATCAAATAAATAAAATCTTTAAAAAAAAAATTAAATTAAAAAATAAATTAAAAAAAACAGCATCTATTAAGTTGGAAAAGATCAACAATGCACTAGAGATTAGGGTTTAAGAAAACATTGTCATTACCTTGCTGGTGGGAATATAAACTGTAATAACTTTTTTTTGGTAAAGAGTTTATTTTTTTAGAATTTTATTTACTTGACAGAGAACACAAGCAGGGGGAGTAGGAGAGGGAGAAGCAGGCTTCCCTTTCCACCAAGCAGGGAGCCCGATTTTATTTATTTTAGAGAGGGGAGGAGGGACTAAAGGGGAGAGGAGAGAATCTCGAGCAGAGCATGGAGTCCAATGCCGAGCTCGATCCCACGACCTTGAGATCATAACCTGAGCCGAAACCAAGAGTCAGATGCCTAATGGACTGAGCCACCCAGGCGCCCCTAAGTTGTATAGCTTCTGAGGAGAATCTCACATGTACCAAAATGTAAAATGCCATTCCACCTCTATGAATACAGCTTACAGATACACTTGCACTCATGCAACATAACCATATTTCATTTAATACAAAATGTCGATTTTTAAGGTGCATCATTATTTTACATACCACTAAAACCAAGGCACTGCTAATTAAACGATGGATATCAAAATACACTCAAATTTCAGAGATACTAAAAAACGTGAGGAAAATATAAGAACTGATTAAATATGTAATCCTCTAACTTCATGTTCATTTCATTCCATAAAACTTTTTTCTTTTAAATTGAAGCATATATTCAAAATCTGGTTCCCCATCTTTGCCAGGTCTTCTGCATTTTTATAGATGGCACCATGGTCAAACTCTATAGGAAACGTTTTTTGGCACCTTAGCTTCCAGGCTTTCCAGGAAAAACTTCTTTGTTCACTACTCAAGCCTGTTCTTCAAACCATTTCAAGTCTATAAATAAATCCGAAGGGTCCTACACCAGCTCAAGCCAGTGGATAAAAACTACCTTCCTCCTTTTGCAAAAGCATGGATGATATACGTAAGACTGGAAGTTCTATTCTATACTAAGGAAGGTCCAGACCCTCACAGCTGGTTTTAACACTTCTTACATAGTGAAAGTGAGAGAGGTCCCATCTTATTGCATAATGGAGTAGGAACAACTCAGTTTGTTGGATAGAGGTACTGAATGAAACCAGCAGGCTCAGCCCTCAAAGGAAGAACCAGCCCTGGTGGACAAAGAAAAAAGTACCGTTTCCCTCTGTTGGCCTTGAGAAGTTAGACAAAACAGGAGCAGTAATAAAATGCTCAATTCAGTTTTTAAGGTTTACTTGCCACTAGCTAAAGCACTTCCTTCTTTGGTGTCTTATCTCTGTGATAGACTGCTAGCACCATCCCTGCCCGTTATCTCAGAAATGCTATTTACTTGTCAATAAAGTAATACAAGTCCCTGCTCCTGTCAGTTGAAAAGGTTCATGGAGTGTTTAGCCATCACCTCAGGCTTAAGAGAAAAGAACTGTTAGCATGACAAAAATTTACTTTTATCATAGTAATCCATAAACATGGTTTAACAAAGAGTACAAGGTTTTCAAGTCTCTTGCTTCATCCTCCCCAGAAACAATTTTTTAGCTGTTCTTACCTTTATGGGACTCAATAAAATTGTCATTATTCTCCATTTACCACTTTTTAAAATTATTTTAATTTCTATTATTGAATGAGTTTTGCTCTTACACATCTCATAACTCACCCATCCACACTTCCCCGTTCTCCCAATTTAGTTAGCTGACAATTATTTGATGAACAGTGCTGCCGTGATGACTAGGTTGAGACCCATAATTCTATTTTACAAGTTTTGGTAAAACACTTGTTTTTTCATTTATTTTCTATGTACTTGTCAGTAATGCAAGCTCTACACTCTTCAAGTGAACCAAAAATTTCCTCAAAATATTAAAATCCAGGAACTTTTAAATTCTGTCTTGGAATTCCCTTCTGTAACTCTACTTTGCCCTGCTTCAAGCAAGACTATACTGTTCTCCAAGCTCAAAGCAAAGGACTCCCAGGACTTCCCACTGTCATTATTCTGGGAATTCTTTTTTGCCTCAGCATGAGACCACATGGAAAACAGCACTACTGAGCAAACTTTACCCCAGTAGTTTGCAACAGCACTTAATACCAGCATGGTGGGGCGCCTAGGTGGCTCAGCTGGTTAAGGGTCTGCTTTCAGCTCGGATGATGATCCCAGGGTCCTGAGATCAAGCCCTACATCAGGCTTCCTGCTCAGCGGGGAGCCTGCTTCTCCCTCTCTCTGCTGCTCCCCCTGCTTGTACTTTTTCTGTCAAATAAAATCTAAGGGAAAAAAAAGAACACAATGCTAATGCTCTACCTCTCTCAGGATTCTATCCCCCTAACAGTCTAGTTTAGTGCTGAGGTAGCTCTGGGCTAAGGAGCCTGGTTTAATTTGGCATTCACCCAAGTCAACCCCAATTTTGATGCCTGGAAGACTCTTTTACGTCAAAGTTAAGGCCTAACACCAAATCAAACCCCAGTATCACCCTGAAAACAGCTCTCCTAAGTCCTAGGACCCATCCAGAATCAGATGGGTCATATCTGGGCCAGATGCCAACGCTACAGAGTAGTGTGACCATTCCCATCCCCACCTGACTTCCAGTGATACAACAATTATCTGCACACCCAAGACCTAGACAGAAAGCTACTTGCAGAGGCAAGGTGAGGACAGGTACTTTGTAGTCTCCACAAGTGTATTTACACAAAGTAGGTGACCAGTTAAGTATTTCATGAACTACAAAGCCAGCTCTCAGGTGGATGCTAAGCACACTTTACTCAACAGAAGGAATGGTGGAAGGCTACAGAAAATCCATGGATGAAAGCATTACTCTTAAACTACTATAGGACTCCTGAGCTAAGTGATAGTATAATTTTGTCTATTACACAGAGCAGACTACGTAGCCTCAACTCAGAGGTACACCTGACTGGAAGCTTAAACACTAATTGAAAAAAACTTTATTTAAATTGGACTTGTTGATATTTCCCCAAGATTAAGTTTTAGAATTCATTTCCACTGTGCTTAATTGTGTTTTGCCTTTTAACAGTAATTACAGAGCACAGCAGGAATGAAGCATTAAACCAGCCCAGATTTTGACAGTCATGAAAAACTGCTCTTAGGTTGTCTGTTACAGGGAGACCATGCTCTCAAAGGAAAAAGAACGACTCCCTTTAAAATTTTAACCAGACACTATGTTTTATAGAGCAAAAATATATTACCTCCATATCTAATCTATGACATGCCATTACCACAGAAAAACTTTCTCCCACTACTCACATCTAAGTAAAATTCCTTATTTGACATTTTGTCCCCCCCTTACACCATAAGCTCCAAACTACAGCCAGCATCTACAACAATACTTTGCAAAATATCACTCAAATTATTTGTTGAAGCAATAAATACTGTTAATCTCCACCTTCTGAAACTTGCAAATTCCACCTATCAGACCAAGGAGTGTACCAATGAAAGTGCCGAAGAGTGATGGGTCCAGCTTTTCAGAAAAAAGGGAATCAAAGTAGGCACCACCCTCCAAGAAGTGGGAATGGCAGACCCAGCCAAGGAAGATAAAAGAGACAAATACAAGTAAAGTAACTATAGACTTTACTCATAATCTTCCCGTTATTGACCACTTCTTATCTGTAGAAGCTAATAACTCTTTTCAACCTTAATCCCCTTAACTCCACCAAGTTTTCCTGGAACCGTTATCTTAATCACTAGACCCCCCCAATCATAGACAGCTTGTGTTCAGCAATTATTTATATTTTGAGGATTAGAGGAGTAAAACGTAATATTCAGAAAAATGGTCGCTGGGAGTGTTAAATGAGAGAACACATAAATGACCAATCACGGGGTTTCATAGAGAGCAAACATTCAGTAAGTTACAAGTTATATACATACAGAGTTATTTCCATCTTGGCCATCTATGAATCAGAACCAGTCAGGTAGAAGCCTTAAGTAGAAAAATTGAGGAATCACCCAACTAATGACCAGATCCTTTTCAACTCCCATCACAACCCACCTTTCCTAAAGGCATACAGTAGGTGCTCAATATTTATTGAATGAATGGTTCTAGAAAATACCCTACATGAAGCCTTACTATTTATAATGTTAAAACTGGAACCAAGGTACAGACAAGAAAAAAAATCTGGAAGACATTCTGTTTTGATAGAAGCATGGAACTAAGAGGCAGTGGCTCGTTCTTGCACTCATCCCCAGGCACATTATTAAATACTCTGAAGCTCACTGTTGGGTCCTTTTTCTGTGAAGTACAAGTTAATGAGGTGCTAGTGGTACCATTCAGGTATTCTTTGGATTTTGGCAGAGCTATAAAAACAGATGGTGAAAGGCATCAAAAAAATGTTACTTACTGGCCTAGAGAAGCAGCAGAATGCTGACAGAACCACAACTTTATTTTTCCATATGGCATGAAAAATGAAAGCTGACCTATTCCTTCAAACTCTTCCTTTTCCTAGAACTCTTATCTTGGCAATAAATCAGGCTAGATGTACTGACTGACTGGGTGGTTAGAATGGTAGTAAGAGGCACATGATGACTGCTTTGCAAGCAGGGAAAGACGTGTATCTCAAAACTACTATTAAGTAGTTGGTTTTATTACAAAGGTGGACTAGTGGGAAGAAGTCTTTACTGGAATAAGGCTACCTGCCAGGGTTCTTCTGCACATGACCTCTTTTTCCTTTGGCACCTGTAAGTCCTACCTACAATAAAGTAACTGCAATGATGTTCACCCAGAGCTCAATGTCAAACTTTATACCCTCCCCTTCTCTTCCAGAACAAATAAAAGAATCCAGACACAAGCCCAAGCAAGAATTCTCTCAAAGCACACATACCCTAAGTTGAAAAACCATTTATTTCACGGAAAAAAAAAAAGTTATCCAACTCTATGTGTCTACCCGCCACAAGCCTTTGGGTCAAAAAGACTCAGGAACAGTGACACTCTCATCAAGGTCATTCCCAAGTCCAACACCCACTGGAAGCAGGAGGCGGGGAGACAGCACAACCCCCACCACAGTTTCTGCACACAATGAGGCCTGCTGGGAGAATAGAACATAAATGGGAAACTACAGAAGTACTGAAGAACAGGAAGAACGGGAAAATGGGCAGGAAGGAGGAAAGGAAGAGGTGGTCTGAACTTAGCAAGGTAAATTAAGGTCCACGGTTCCTGAGGGACTGAACGTACAGAGCCGAGAACGTCCCGGAGATGGGGTACCACGAAGGGTGTATTCTCATGCACAACCGCAGCTCGGAATTTCAGCCCACACACATCCCACCTGAAAGAGAGCACAATACAGGGGCTTTACAGCAAAGCTCAAAAGGGCTTTCCTACTTAAAACTTCAAAGAACATCTTTATCAAGTCTGGTAACTTGACACTCCTTTTAAGTTTACTTGTACCCATACCCAGTACCACAATAACCTCTAAAAGTGAAAAGAGCTTGATGCCCAGAGAGTAACTGGGAAGGTCAAGCAATCCCAGGCTGGGGTCTTTCTCTAAATTAAATAGCAAATACTTTTTCATGACAGTAAGCAAAGACAGTGCGTTTCTCTTGATGTTAACATTAGCATTCCTCAGAAAAGGTCATGTCCACATCACAAATTATCACTAGAGGGCAGGAAAAAAAGAAAGGTTTCAATTAGCTCTCTGGGGTAAAAGTCAAAAGTACGTTTGAATCTGGGTTTACTACCAACCTCCAAATTAAAAATCATTCAAGGTCTAGGCAAAAGTAGCATCAACTGAACAAACTTTAAGACCTGAGGGCATCCAATTCTGCCTAGTGAAGAAACTAAAAGAATGTAGTGGAGGGCATGTGTAAGCTACCTATTAAGTCATTCTTTCTTTTCCAGCCCTATCAGTGATTTCTTATCCAATAATCCTAGGTAAGTCATATATCTTCTGCCTTAACTGAAAGATGAGAGAATATCACTCAGCCTGTCATTACAAAATTACGGACTGAAGGTAATGTCTGGGATACACTAGGGGGTACCCAAAACAAAGGGTGTTGAGAACCACCCTTTAATACAACAGCAATCTCAAACACCTAGAGCCCAAAGCTGGCAAGCATCAGAAAGAATATACTCAAGTAGAGCCAAATGGATCATGAGGCTCAAAATGTATAGCAGAGGAAAAAGCCAGAGGACTCAAGGTAGAGCTGGTAGTTCAAGAGTATTAAATGCCCATAACTAGTGGGAAGATGAAGGGAGTGATCTGCTTAAGGCAAAGCTCCCAACCCTGGTGTTCATGCAGATTTATATTAGTATATACCTTGAAGAAGTGGAGTAGAGATGTCCAACTGTGGGACTGTTTTTAAAAAAAAAAAAAAATGAACAAAGTAAATAGGCTCTTATAGGACAGATTCAAAGATAGAGCAATGGAGTGGGCACTCTATTCAGGGAATGAATCTGAGCTGAGTGGAGAAGTTGGATTTGAGTCTATGCCCCAGACTCCTTGTTGAAAGCTTTATAAAAATTAAGCTACCTTTTCTGCTCTCTGCCCCAACTTACCATCAAAGAAGTTTTTTCTGTAAAGCTCACAGGGAGTGAACCGTTCAGGAATGTCAGAAAAATGCTGCTTCAAGATTAAGATGATGCCACCTGGGTAGTCTTCATAGTAACTGGGACCCGAGCAGTGATGACTAGTTAACTAGTTATCAATTTTGTATTACTATAGGTCATATCCGACCTTTCACATAGCACGAAGCAGAACAGGAAACTTGCAAACCTTAATAATGTTGCACACCTAGGAATTTCAACAAAGGCTCTGAGAAACGGCACACCTCAGTCTGAATATATGGGTCCCAGGTTCAGTTCAATTACAGCACAGAGGTGTGACCCAAGATTCATCACACCATTCTTTGTTTTTCCAGGCACAAATAGCATCACACTGACTCCCACTACTAGGAGCCCTGGAAAAATAGCCATGAGGGCTAAGGATGTTTATTTATTTATTTCAAAAAGTTAGGTAGTTAAGGACTTCTCCCTAGCCTCTGAACCATGCTAGTAACCTTACCCTAACCCAGCAAAAGCAAGCAAGCAGGGCAGCCTAAGTGGAGCCTTTAGGCTGCAGGAGGAATGACAAAACCAGAACAGGGGACACCCCACCGCTCTCACCTCAAGCCTTAAAAGGCTGAATACCGCGCCCGATCCGCATACTGCTCCCGCTCATACCGGGCCATGTCGTACAGGGAATTCCGCGCGGCCGCCGAAGCTTGGGACAACTCACTCTCATGCCCGTAACCGTAGCCCTCTCCAACAGTGGGGACTGGGGCTGTAGCGCGACGCAGGGGGCTCCGATCCCGCCCGTAATATGAAGTGGAAGCTGCAGTAACAGCAGCAGCGGCTGCTGCAGCAGCAGCAGCTGTAGCAGCAGCAGCTCCTGAGGTCGGCAACAGGTGTCTATCGTAGGGATCAAGAGAGGTGGAGGTGAGGTGACTGGCCATGGCTGTGTTCTGGACTTGTGGCAGCTGGGACAGGGTCTGCTCTGCGTAATTATACGCAGAGGCAGCTGCAGCCGCCACTGCCTCATAGGACCGGGCAGCACGGCAGCGCTTGTAGTAGGCATCGAGCGCTCCGTACGCGTTGTTGTAATACAACGAATCCCCATAGCTCATGGTGTAAGGTGTACGCACTGCTCCATATTGCTCATTATATTGCTCGGTAAAGTCTGCCACTCGGCCCGAACGATCTATCGGACACTCTTTGGACCAGTGCCCCTCTTTCCCGCACCGATAGCAGCCGCTCTGGTCTCCCATCCCGGGCGCAGTCCTAAGCCGGCTGGTGGACAACTGCACGTGCATTCGTTTGCCTTGAAGAAACAGACGCAAGAAGGGTTGCTATCACTCTTAGTCATAGCCCGCGCCCCTACCCCAGACACCGGTCATAGCAATGGCTTTACCTAGACAACTCTAATGCAGGATTCGTTGCCAAAAGATTTAAACAAAACAAAAACAAAAAAAAGAGTCCACTATATAAATTCAATATAATGACCTGATTTCAGGCAAAGATCAATTAGATGAAGAAATGTTTCAGCTCTAACACCAGTTTAATGCTTGTGCCCAAAAAAAAGCACTTTCATCCTTTGCCAAGTAACTGTAGACAAAAACTACCCTGAACAATAGCCTACTGTCAAAAGAAACTACAGTAAGACTCCTCCACAAGATTCTGACATTTCCCATCTTCACTACCAAGACTGATTTCATTAAGCAGCACAATGCAAAGGCTAGTCCCCTAGCTCCCCACCCCAAAAATCAAAGAGAGTAAGACCCTAAAGTTACCACCGATAGAGAATATGACCCAAACATGATCAGTGGCTGAACGTGATAGGCAAGTTTCAAGATTTCTGGGAAAACACTCATGAATTGGGGGGAAAGGGACAATAAATACACACTGAAGGACTGTCTTCCCCCTTAACGGAATCCTTTAAATTGCTGGTTCTGACAGTCAGTCCACCGAAGATTCTTTAAAATCTGATAGCTAAACTTTAGTGACCTAAGGAAACAGGACAGACAATTCACAAGATGCCTGAATTTTTAAAAAGATTTTGAAAAACATGGAAGAAAAAGGGAAAAGTAGGTGAGAAAAACGGAGAATAACCAGTAATATAACGGATCAAAGAGTTCATTTTTACAAGATTAAAATACTTTTTCTACTTAAACTAGGGATCAGAGAGATTCTAAGAATACACAATAATACTATCTTTTGATGAAAATTACAATTTATATTCTGGAAATAAAAAATATTACTTCTGGAAAACTTAACAAAAGAAACTTTTCAAGAAGTTTAAGGGTTAAATCTTTTCACAGAAAGTTTCCAGCTAACGTGATCTACCAATTTATTGGTAAGCAAAATTCCACCAAAAACTTCCAATGCAATTGGCTATGATGTACCCAAACATGCAGATATGAAAAGTGAACGGTTAGAAGCAAGGGAGAGTCAACAGATAGATCTTCTACTCACCTTAACAATACAGAAATTGGTAAACAGACAATTTCACATGCAAAATTAAAGTCCTGGGAAGCTGGAAAAGGGAAAAGGAGGTGGAAGGATCAAACTACCCCAAAAAATCCTGCTGTAAACATTACAGTGTAGATAGACTGCAAGTTAGGAGCTAAGATAAGCAATTAAGTACTTAACTGTTTTAAAGTGCTCACCTATGTCCCTCTGGCATTTGCCCATGGGGCCATTCTGGCACCTAAGAAAACAAGCGCAACCAAGGAACTAACCTTGCACATTCATGACATAAAGGTCATTAACTAACGCCCTGATCTAAGGATGTGTCAATTCCAAAGCCAGAAAAAGAAAATAAGTCTTTAAAAATATCTACAATTGATGTCTCTTAAATGAGCAAACAAGAGAGAATACACCCAACACTGAAACACTAAAAGGGTTAAAAGACCACCTTCATCAACACTGCTACTCCTTGTACGCAAAGAACTCTACTGAACAGTACTAAGGAAAATAACTAATATTAAGAAAAGCAGTGAAAATATAAATAAGCACAGGTAGCACCAGACGGCCTTCAGTTCATATGCAAAGAGTTATGCCATAAGGACAAGTTGTCCTGTATCAGAACACACTGGCCTCCCCTTACACATGTAACTACTACAAGCAGACACAGCCTCCCATTCTATAACTGGGTTAAGTGGAGAAAAGTGTCCAAAAATTAGGTATCATATCACAAATCCTCCACAAAAGCAGCCTTGACCCCAATTAAGTTGTTGACAGCAAATAATTCTCAACTTACCAATTAAAAAAGAAAAACAAACTAGACCTGAGAGACCAGTGACACTTTTCTTTAATAATGCACAGCAATACCCACGACACAGTGCACCCATTACTTGGGGGAATGATGATCGGACCTCCAGCTCTAAGAAAGGTCCAATTTAAGGGAAATAAACACCCAAAACAGCAGCAATGACTCTTAACAAGAGGAGTACTCAGGAAAGGAAGCCGTAACTACCTTATCTGGGCTAAAAAGGTTGGAATATACTTTAAAAATATACAAGGAGTTGAGGGAGTATCCCGTTAACTTGGAAGTAGTTACAACCAAAGGGAAAAGGCTCTTTTTTGATACTGGGGACACAAAAGGGAGGGGTGGAGGGGTGGGAGAAGAGTCAGCAACTCACCATGTGGTAACCCACACTCACCCTTCCCGACTGCCACTCTAGCCATAGGAGCTCAGATCTTAAACCAAGAAAAGATAAAACCTTCCATATAAAGGGACAATCCATACCATTACTCACGCTGCCCTCCAGGCACACTAACAATCTAGCCAATGCTCTAAGGTTAACCCCCATCTAAATGCTCTATTCACCAAGGATGTTAAGAGTCCACCCTCCAGTACAGTGAAAAAGCATTGCCATTATTGCCCCCCAAACCCCAATATCTCCTCCTCAGAAACTTCTAAAAATCAGGCTTTTATTCTGGAGGGGCCTCATCCTCCACAAACAGAACCTCTTGGTAAAAGCATTAACAGAAAACCAAGAACGATAGTCCTTTAAAGACACCAGTCATCTAAAAACTAGTTATTTAATGATTACTTATCTTTAATGGGAAATTATGAGTTGGGATGGGGGGGGTGGTTTAACGGGGATTCTGCTCCCCAAAGTGTTGCTTAGGATGCTCTTGCCAGATTCTTTTTATGTAAAATGAGGTATAATGCTGATACTGGGCTGAGGCAATAAATTCTGAGTGAACCAATGATATATGCTCTACCAAGAAAAGGGAAAAAAATTAAAAAGACAAGATAATTGGGGAAATCAAAGGAAAGGATTTCTGCGCTAACAGGCATAAAAGTCTTAGGAGTTCCAAACTAAAGCCATGTGGTAGACACTGTTCTAACTAAGGTAAAGCCTCTAAATCCCATGTATTCTCCATTTTAAGTCCATCACCCATAATGCTTCACCATCAACACCAACAGCTGTATCTCTACCCCAAACCCCTCCCTTTACTTATCCAACCTATTTTCTGCATACAGCCTGTGTTCAGTCCTCTTCCCAAAGAGGGTGGTTCACCTTGAAACTCTGTGTTGTCAAGGCCCCTGATGGCCTCCACTGCATCCTCTGCCCGCTCCATGTGTACGAAGGCATAATCTTTCACGATGTCACATTCGATGACTGGACCATACTCCTCAAACTTGGCCCGAAGCTCTTTGTTGGTACAGGTGGGGCTGATATTGCCCACATGCAACTTTGTGGAGGTTTTGCTCTTATTCTTGCTGGCTTCCACGTTGATGTTCACCCCGTGCAGCTTGTAGTGGTGCAGGTTGCGTATGGCATCCTCAGCCGCCGTCTTGTCCTCTATGTGCACAAAGCCGTAGTTCTTAATGATGTCACATTCCAGCACCTTCCCATACTGCTCAAAGAGTGAGCGGATCTCCTGCTCTGTGGCCTCCCGGGGCAGGTTTCCAATGAACAGCTTCACCATCTCGACACAGCCTGCATGGGAAGAAACAAAATTTCTAACAAAAGACCTAAGGCTCGCGTCAATTAAAAACAAAAACTCTAGGAAATATTTCCAGTTTTCCCTTTCTCTTACATGCCCACCTCCACAGAACAATCAAAGGAAAGTGGAAATATGGAGGCCTGCTACAGTACAAACCCGTAAGAATGAGAAAATGTCTGTAATAGAAAGGTCCTTAGTAGACAAAGGGTTTGAAAAGAGCTGGAAGCTTCTAACCAAAATGAATATGAAAATGAGGGCAATACATGCAGGGCTAGAGGTACTGGGCTTTTCTATCCACTGTGAGGTCAGAAAACGAAAGTCTAACTACTGGCTAGCTGAACTGACTACTGAAATTATGAATTAGGTCTTCCTCTCGCAATCGAGCGAGTGGTCACCATTTCCGGAAAACTGGGCCTTTTAACAGCTACGTTTTCGGGTTTCCTTTGGAAGAAGTCAACCGGCGACCCGGGCCAGAGAGCAAGGCATGAGGAGAGTACAGGAAGTGCAGGACTGGGGAACGCCTCTCCCGAGGTGCCATCCTAACGAGCTCCTGCAGAATGGGGAAATGCGTGGCCAGAGAAGGGGGCTTTAGACTCATCAGCCAGACAACAATGTCACAGGGCCCAAGAAAAGGGTTTCAATTTCCTGAGTCTAAGGAAAATGCGGTTATCTATATGGAAACCTCAGGGCAGGAAACCGAGCCAAGTCGGGCAGAAGGCAAGGTGGGGAGAAAGCAGGGTATTCTCGGGGGAGGTCGTGGGGGAAGGGCTGCTTCAGGCTTACCGCGCAATGCCCAGCACCGAGGTCGGCTCTCAGAGACGGGTGCGCAGGCCAAGACCCCACTACGATACCCCTGCAGCCCAAGGGAGTGAGGTAAGATTTAACAAGGGGAAAAAAAAAAAAAAAAGACAGCGGAGGGGCTTGGAGTCTCTCACCCGCACGGAAATCAGCAGGGGCTCTTCCTCGCGGCGCAGACGCTTCTGACAAAACGCTAAAATGGCGGCGGCCGCAGCAGTGACTCTGGGTAGAAGGGGAGGTGAGTGTACCACCGGATTGGCTGCTCAGTTAAGTTAAAGGCAGGCGTTCCCATAGATCCTCTTCCTGATTGGTTACCACCAACGCCAATTACCTGAGAGGCCGGGAAGAGGTGGAGACGTCAGTAACCCCGGAGCTTTTATGCGAATGCCAATGAACGCCTATCTCGCGAAGCCGAAGTCACTGATTGGGCAAGAGGTAGGCGTGGGGGAGGAACTACAAACGTGGGCTTCGCCGGCGGGGTGCGGCCCGCCATTAGGCGGAGCGAGCTAAGGCCCCGGTGTGGCGGTCTTTAGCTTCGTGGCGCCAATTTTGTGAAGCTTCCACGTTTTGCCACCGACACGTGCACATCCTGGCGGTATCCCCCGCTCCATTCTGCCTTCTCCGAATTTGTCCTTCTACACTCCCAACCACCAACCCCTCGCAGCCAAAATGCTATACGATAGGTTAGACCCAAACGCCAGGTAAGAAAAATAACGAAGCTTCCCCACCTGAAGAACCAACCTCCTCCTTTGCCCAAGAATCCACACTGTAGCCCTAGGAGTCCCGGAGCTCCCCTCGCATCAAAACTACTGTCATAGATGGTGAAAGGAATTCTGGAAACGGTTAATGGGCGCGGCTTCAATTAGGTTATAACGGCCTCGAAGTTGGCCCGGTTGGAGGCTGCGTTACTCAGGAGGCGCTGAGACCAGTTCCCGCGAGGAACCAGCCTCCCGGTGTGGGTCCAAGATGAAGAAACGGCTTCTCTGTGCGACCTTGGAGATTGAAAACGCCCCCACCCCGCCCTGAGAAAAAACTGGAGCAGCGAAAATTTTTTGTTTTATTTTATTGGGCGCCATCAGCCAGAGCTGTAGGTTTAAACTCCTAGAACCGACCTTAGAGGAGCCTAATCACATCCAGCTATAAGCAAAATACAATCAAAATAGCATTCTCCAGAGCGTCCGGCTCCCTCATCACATTTTCTTTCTCATCCTTTGGCTTCTTCACATAATCCCGTATTCTTTGAGCAAGCAATGACCCTTTGCGAGGCAGCTTTTGAAGAGAGTTAAAAGCGGGAGTGGGAAAGGTGCTGGATGAAAGAACTTAAAAGGTTATCTATGAGGAAAGGGATCATGAGTGGAGATGACATAACATACAACCGTCCAAAGCGGCCCCAGAAAGGGCGGTGGGGGCCATAAAAAGAAAGGAGTCAAAGTTGTGGAAATGAGTTTTAAAACCGGACATGACTCAGGAATCAAATGGTGGAAATCTGGTCAAGACTTACTCTAGGGTGGGAAGAGCAAAAGACCTAAAAACATCAAAATATTTACAGATGGTGGTCACTCATCGTGGTCCGTTTTCATTGTGGATTTTGATAACTGAAACTGAGTAAAGGCCTTATAATCCGTGATGAAGAAAATCAACTCCATGTTAGTCAGCTGTGTGTGTGCCCTTTTAAGGAGGCCAGCCATCAAATGAGGGTCACCACTCAATCTGCAGGGCAACGCATCTGGTATAGAAATTCTCTCAGCTCCTTTCAGTTTGATCTTCCAAATTTTGTGTCCTCCAACAGCCCTGGAGATAAACTTTCTCCCAAAATACCAAAGCAGATGAGATCCACTCACTCTATAAACTAAGAATCAATCTCTCCAAGCCCAAAGGGGAGAGGACTGGGAATATAAATCTCAGGACCACAATCCATGCCAGTTTGCAGACCACAGCCTCCCCCCTCCCGCCCCCAACACTCTCAATCTAATTTACCTTCTGAAAGCCTTTAAGGTGGAGTAATAGGTTTCATTTTGCAAGCTCATCCAACTGAGTAAAAGCACATTAAATTATCACCTGATTCTTAAAACCCACTGCAACTTGAAAATTTTCAAACTCACCCTGGTTCTTGCCAGAATCTCCCAATCTCTTTAACAAACACCCCCTCACCCCCCCCACACACACTATGCTCCACCCCACACACCCCAAACCCCAAATATGCTCCAGTACACTGGCTTTTGTTCCAAGTTCATTCAGACTGGAATGTTCTTTCCCCAAGGTCCTTCGATGGCCACCCCATCTAAAGACGTCCCCCTACTCCAACCCTACCTTAGAACTCCATGCCATGACTTCATGTTATTTTTCCAAATACTTACCACCACTTGAAATCCTATTTGTTCATTCCATTTATTTCTCCTCCCTCCCCCAACAAATACTTGTTCAAGGCAGGAACTTTTTCTTCTTTCCTATTCTATCCTCAATGTTAACTGCACCTGGAACATGGTAGACACTCAATTATTTGTTGACTAAGTTAACACAAGGGTGAATGAATGCAAGACTTCTTTTGGAAACCAAAAGGAGAAGTACTTTGGATTTCCAGTCAGTATCAGCTTAAGACCATGGACCCTTAGTTCTAAAAACAAGCACTTTTATCCTTATTACCCAGTATGCTTTCCAGTCTCCCTCAAACAGAAAAAGCAGGGTGCCCAAAAGCCAGGGGGTAACCTATGCTATAGCTTTTGATCATCAGGATGACCAGCTTGACAAATGCTAAAAAATGAAGCCTTGCGTAGAAAGATCTGTTTGTAGTTCAAGCATCTCCATACTAATGTTGACCTATCCAACTCTATTTTACTGAGTACTAAAGAAGCTTAATATTCATCCCTTAAAAACCATTAAGGTTTATAAATTAAAAACATCTGGTCCAAATCCTCTACCTTACCAACCCAACTATGCAAAACAATTGAATGCAGAATTTTAAAAGCACCGTGTCCAGAACACTTTAGATGCCATTTGGGTGATTTTTAATTTGCTGATCAAGTTACCAAGCACCTAAAAGGTAAAGTGACTTGTCCAAAGTCATCTAGAAAGCTGTTATCTGTCATAGCCAAGCATAAATATACATTATTCTCACTGCAGACCTTGAAAAAGACAAAAGTGCCTGGAGCCTGGACTCTTGAAGAGAAATAAGGGAAAAATCCAAACTGGGGGGGGGGGGGACACTGATGTCAGTGAAAACCATTCAAGTGTGAATAATCTATTACATTCACACCCTTAGGGGTGAATATATATAATTTATACATGTTAATAACTCTGGCTCCTGTCCAGAAATGAGTTATTGGTTTAGTTAAGAGCTTAAATTAAAAACCAGTATTCTCCAGGGATGTCCAGACTGGCCTTCCTTGAGTAGGCCAGTCAAGCAAGCTTCCTAAGCCTCTGATTCCACTGGCAGCTACACTCTCTTATCCTCCCCTTACTGTCTTTGCACGTTCCCTACCCCATACCTTTCTTTTCCATACCCAAGGAGAATCTGATCTCAGGACACTGAAGTGTTGCCTGAGACTGGAAGTCACAAAAAATGGTGTAGTCCATGTCCTACTTCACTCCTAGGTACCACTCATTTAAAAAAAATCCAATGCTTCACTGTTACTCATATGTGCTGCACTCACACACTCACACCTACATCCAAAGCCCTTTGCTCAGATGTGTGCTCCACTAGGCCACCCCAAACTCCCCAAAATGTTCTAACTCATGTCTGTGAGACAGCTAGCATTTAAAGAGCAGTGAGGTCCTACACTTGACACATGTTCTCATGTGATCCTTCTACAATACTATGATTACAAGCAAAGTCCTGGACAGTTAATTAAAAATACTGGTTCAATCCCTTTATCTACTTTCCAACTATGTGATCTCAAGAAAAGTTATTTAACCTACAGCCTCAACTTCTCATTTATAAAAGAGGTTTAAAAATACTTAATGGCATTTGGATTGCAATGAAGATCAAATGAAATTCCTGTAGGAAATGCACTTTTAACGGTGCTTAGCAAGTGTTCAATGTTAGCTATTACCTTCATTTTATAGATGAAAAAACTGAGGCAGAGTTCCTGACATGTCCAAGATCACACAGCTAAGTGATAGAAACATGATTCAAACTCAGGAAACCTGATTTTAGAGCCAACACCCTTAGTCATTCTCTCTGGGCCAAGTCAATTTTCCAACCAAACAAATCCCATTTCCAGAAAGTTTTAACTTGTGGAACTGCCTCTTCCTCATCTTCCACTACCCTAGTATTGTTTAACTGTAACTAGTTGATTGAGGTAGGTCCTGCCTCCCCAGATTATAAATTCAAGGTCAGCCCAAGGGCTCAGCTACGTGAACACTGTATTTCCACTACTATTGACACACAATATTTCAAATGATTTAGAGCTGTACTTAAAATAATTTTAAGAACGTCTTTTTTTTTCTTGGAATATTCTAGATTCTACCCTTTATGATCTCTCTAAAGATAAAAATTTAGGTGAATATAAATTTTTCACCTGCCTTTTTTAAGATTTTATTTATTTGAGAGAGCGAGAGCACAAGCACGGGGGAAGGCAGAGAGAGGAGGAGAAGCAGACTCCCTGCTGAGCAGGGAGCCCGACGCAGGAGGCTCGATCCCAGGATCCTGGGATCACGACCTAAGCCGATGGCAGACGCTTAACCGACTGAGCCACCCAGGCGGCCCTCACCTGCTCTCCATCTTATCTTCTCTATTACCCAAACCTTCTATTACATACAGTCCATAAACCTAGGAAATTTATTTTCATTATGACCTCAGTCATCCCCTGTTACGGTCAGCTTACTTGGCTTGATAGGACAAAATGACTGGAGAACCAACAGTGTGTGCAAACACTGGTAGAGCTTAACTGATGGGCATGACTAGAAGAGCAGCCTACCCAGAGGCTGACCTCTCAGGGACAGTCCCATTACCTCCAGTACAAGGGATGGGGCCCCAGGCCTACCCCAGACAGAATTTGAAACAAAGTCCAAACCTCAGAAGAGAGCAGATTGACAAGGTTAGAAGCCTCTATTTAATCTTGTTCCAGGAATAAATCATCTTAAACTTCTCCAACGAAGGCCAAGTTGTAGAGGTAATAGATGCAGAAGTGCAAAAATCTGAAGGGACACTGGGAGCCCATATTCCCCACCTCTTACCCCAAAA